CAAACCTGCTCAAAACTTCTCTTCGAAATTGAGCCCACGTAGCGTTCGGGTTCTCTAACTCCCACCATTGAAACCACCCAAGCGCTTCGCCGTCCAACACCATCATCACCGCTCGCACCCTTTCCACCTCTGCAGCTTCATTCACTAGAAAGTAACGCTCAACCTTACTCAACCAAGCACAAGCATCTTCGCCGGTGAAAGCTGGAATTTCCAGCTTATTAGAACAACCATCGTTCACTGTAACTCGACGAACTCTTCCATTAGAGTTTTCCGAGTCGACGGCTGGACCTCCTCCCCCACCTGATCCGCTCGGACCATCCGCAGGACGCAATGCAGCAACTGCAGCTGAAATCGTCTCTAATTGACATAGCATTCCTCTTGTCCGGTCTCATTCGCGTCCAATCGACGGATCAACTCAATCTGACCCGCTTCGCTGCGTCGCATTTGCTCCTCCAAACCTTCCATATTTCGTGTAGATACCATACCAAGACTCCCAGAACCGGGAGCTTTGATACCAAATTGATAGGATCAAAACGATTCAAAAGAAATAATGTCACTGCTATTTGTATTTCACTCGTTGAAATTAACCAAGTGCAATATTTGATACAAGAAAACAATTATTACAGAGCCAAAAGAAGAACTAAAGCAGAAAACTAATTATCAGAGCACATGTGAGACGCCCTGAATATCTCCCAAGCCAAGCCTAAATTCCATGACCTCCAATGGTACCTCTCTCCATGCAGCAACACACCTAAATAACAAACTCCCAACCTCCCACTCATGCATCCGTCTCACTCTCCAGTAGGGACGTCATTCTCACGCTCCACAGCTTCAGTCTCTTCAGGTGTTGCATTACTACCCAATGAGGCCCAATTAACCTTCCTCCTATTTATATCACGAGCATAAGTCAGAATGGGCTTTGACGATTTGGGTTTGGGCTTCGAAAGTCTATCATTTTCATCCTTGAAGCATCTAACTTGGGTGAGGTCTTTACTTTTCTTATCCCTCATTTTTGCAAGTATATATATATATATATATATATATATATATACATTTTTCACCATCCTCGCTCCCAAGATTTTTATACAAATCGACGAAAACATTACCTCCAGCTTCTCGCACTGCTTTCTTTGCATTTTTTCTCGCCAATCTAAACTTTTGCAAATTATTATCATTGGGACTTTTATGCAAAGATCTAAAGAATTACTTTTTATGTTTAATTGCCTCTTGCACCTCTCCATTCCACCACCATGTTTCCTTTGTATGGAATCCAATTCCTTTTCTTTCTCCTAGCACTCTCTTTCCCACATTTTGGATACACATAGTCATCTCATTCCATATTTCATTAGTTCCTACAACAGACTCCCATGGTCCTTCATGCAACATTCATTCTTTGAACTCTAATTGTTTTTCCTCCTTTAGCTTCCACCATCTTATCCTTGGGAGTTGAACCCTCTTCCTCATTTTAGATACTTTATTGAACCGAACCTCTAGAACTACCAGCTTATGTTGCGTAGCGACACACTCTCCAGGATAGACCTTGCAGTCGACACAAGAATTTCTATCTTCTCTTCAAGCCATGAAGAAATCAATTTGACTACGATTATGGCCACTATGATAAGTGATAAGATGTGACTCCCTTTCCTGGAAAAAGGTGTTTGCTAGCATCAAATCATAGGCTAGTGCAACGTTCAAGATATCTTCTCCAGTCTCATTTCTCGTGCCATAGCCAAAACCTCCATTAATTCTATCAAAACCTCCATTGTTTTTACCAACATGACCATTCAGATCTCCTCCCAAGAAAATCTTCTCCTCTCGTGGTATTCCTCTCAAAACCTCCTCCAAGTCTTCCCAAAATTGGTTCTTATCATTTGATTGTACCCCAATTTGGGGTGCATATACACTGAGGATATTCAAAATTAATTCACCCACTACAAGCTTAATTAGAATAATCATGTCGCCTTTCCTTTTGACGTCAACGACTTTATCTCTGAAACTTCAATTGATCATAATTCCAACACCATTTCGACTCTTGAAAATTGATAGCTAACAAATCTTGAAAATTAATAGACCAGGAAATCGAGCAACAGAACAAAAAAAGAAGGGGAGTCAGTTAACAAGGAGGACATGTGGCAAAGCAAGAGCGGGGACGGGTAACGTCCATAACAGAATGGGTGGGGAAATTAAAAAAGGATGGAAGAGTAGGTAGGAGGGGTATGCATATACTCAGTAGTGATTTGGGAGGGGAATTGACTCTGCAAGGCCAAGTCTTTGGGTTCTTTCATGGGTTTCCTATTTGTTGAGTTTTCTGTATTTTGATTTTGTGTCTATTTGGGTCTGTTTTTTGAATTTGTGGCAGTGTAAGGAGCTCAATCTCCATTGTTTCTTTCTATCAATATCATCAGATTCTTGGGTTTCATCAATTTGGTATCATAGCACTCCCAATCTAGGGGGTGCATTCTGATTCAGATATTTGAGGGAGTTAGAACCATGGGGGTACATCTTGGAACCCTAGAGAAAGCCATCATGTCAGAAGTCAAAGAAATGATGCAAAAAAATGTTAAAAATTCTAGATGTGTGGTTAAAGAAGGAGACTCCAACTGTCGAAGTCAAGAAGAAGCTCAATTATTGTGGCAATGCTTATTTAGAGAAGGATCAAGAAGAGGCAGAAACTAAAGAATATGAAGAAATCAAAGAAGAATTAGAGGTTGAAGAAGAGGAACACAACAAAAACGAAGAAAAAGAGCAAGAAGAATAAGATTGAGAAAGTGCAATAGTAACAGCCGAGTTGCGTCCCCATGACTTGACTGATTTGGGTCATATGATGACCCTAACACAAAGGGTCAAAGAGCGGGAGAAGATTAGAAGTCAGATCTGATTGTCACATGGAAGGAGCAGAAATATGACTGGATCCATGGGTGGGCACCACACCCACCCAACCCTTACAAATCAAGCTAATAACAGCAATGAAGCAAGGCCCAGTTTCAGGGCTGCTGAGACGCAAAATGGGCCCGACATATCTGGCCCAAGAAGCTTAAACCAAATTAGGATTGATTGTAACGTGGGAAATGGCTCAGATAAGGGGCAACACATAGAAGGGGTGACCTCAAACATTGGAGGTGCGAAGATGATCAGCAGAGACGGAGAAGGGAGAAAATCGAGGTTCAAGTATCTGTCGCCAGAGAAGCTTAATGACAACCAGTGTAAAAATTTATGCTTCAGATGTGATGCTCTTTTTTCACCAGACCCGATTTGCCAAAACCAGCACCTCCACGTCATGTTGGTGGGTACCGTTGAACTTGAGCTTGAAGGTGAAGGGCAGCTCTGCAATGGTGAAGGCATAGAGGACGGTGAGACTCTTCAGTTGAGCATCCACAATATTGTGAGTCTCACTTCCAGCCATTCGTTGAAGTTGTCGAGTGAGGTTCATGGAAAGAAAATGGAAATCTTGATGGACTTTAGGTTGTCCCATAATTTCCTAGCCATTCATACGACTTAGAAATCTTGATGGACTATAGGGCGTCACATAATTCTCTCACACTTGTGCTCTTCCTTCGCCTTAAGGACAAGACGAATCTTGGAGGGGGAGTATTGATAGACCGGGAAGTTGAGCAACAGAACAAAAAAAGGAGGGGAGTCAATTACAAAGAGGACACGTAGCAAAGCAAGAGTGGGGAGGGGTAAAATGTGCAAAAAAGAATGGGTGGGGAAATTAAAAAAGGATGGGAAAGGGGGTAGGAGGGGTACGCATATACTCAGTAGTGAGATTTGGGAGGGGAATTGAGACTCTGGAAGGCCAGGTGTCGCGGTTCTTTCATGGGTTTTCCATCTGTTATGAGTTTTCTTTTATTTTGATTTCGTATCTCTTTGGGTCTGTTTTCTGAATTTGTGGCAGTGCAACGAGCTCAGTCTCCATTGTTTCTTTCTATCAATATCATCAGACTTTTGGGTTTCATCAAACATTAGCTGATATCAACTACTCACTTTATCACTTTCTATTGCTGACAACAAGCAAATTTAGCTTGTGAGTAGTGATCTAAACTGCCCAATTTCCAACTCCTTATCTCACTTAAATTCAGTATCATATGAATCAAACTTGAAATCTTCACAACAGTTTGAACACCAGATCATAACACAAATCCATTAAAACGGGTTCACAGTCAACCCAAATATATTAATCAAATACTTTCCATGATTTTCATTTCTTGAAATTTGATACCCCAAACAGCTTCAACTTTGCAAACCAAACATAATTCTTAAAATCTTAAAAATAAAAATAAAAATGAAAAGTGAAAACAAAGATAAGAAAACATTTTTGAAATTAAACAGACCCAAAGATTGCCTAAATCAGACCTCATTTATTTTTATTATTTATTTATTTAATAGCCATGAAGCATGTAAATTGTACTCCAGAAAAAATGCAGTAGTACAAGATCCAGCACTGTTTAACATTGGTCAGAACTGAATATTCTTTCTACTCACTAATCAGTAATTAGGGGTGTGCATTTACAGACTATCATGTATAGATAGTGGCACAGAGCAACGAAGTACATATTATATATATTTATTCAATTGCCAGACAATGCCATTCTGAAATTAGATCTCAATTGATAAAACAGATAGAACTTAAAGCCATGTTAAGACGGAAACAAGATTGCTATGGCTTGATGTTATTATAATTAAGGAATGGGTCAATAAAAGGATAAAAACATGATTGCAGTAATTTTGAATCTATGATTTCAATAAGAGTGAGTAAAACCGACAAAACAGAAACAACGAAGGCACATCAAAAAATTGAGAATATTATAACATCCAAGAATGACTACCCTGAGTAAAAGGCATACACATAGACTTCGACAAACAGGAATAAAGACTATATATTGTTCGTTAAGAATTTCGATAAGAAAACCTAACGAAGGAGAAAAGAGAGAGCGGGGCGTGGAAACCCTAAATTGAAGGGTTGGGATTGAACAGAAAGAGAAATGGAAGAAATCGCATACCGTAGTCGGAACGGGAGCGCTTGCCGGCGATGGAAGACGGCGCGTGGCGGGACTCGGCGTATCTCCAGTAAGCGTCGGACATGACAGAAATTGATGATTGAGAAAAGTATAAGGAAGCAAAAGCGGAAGATGAGTTTCAGATATTGCACAACACACACTAACTTCACATAAAAGTCACACAAACTCAACTCCCAAGTCTATATACCCCAATCTGGATTTTGTTCGACATACGCTATGCCCTTATATTCCTCTCTACTTCTCTTTTTTTTTTTGTTATTAGGGTTTATAAACTGAAAAATAAAAGAAAAACTCCAAATTTTAATTGAATTGGATCGGTTTTTGGATTGATTGATAAAAATTGATCTAATATATTAATTCTCATCTATCTACTTGGGTCTTTCCTCAATCATAATTTAAAAATTTCTAAACCCAAGACTCATTAATCTATCAACAAAACGAAAAAACATCGTCACATCTCATCAACAAAATTTCATATGTGTAGAGCTTCATATCTTAATGCAAAAAAAAACTATATTATCGTTTAATAATACTTTCGTATTTCAAAAAAAAAATTATAAAGCCAATATGTACAAAAAATATATTATATGCACAATAATCATGAAAAAAAATTTAAGATTTTTAAAAAATCGAAAACCGATCTAATTCAAACCGAAAAAATTAGATTGGATTGGATATGATTACATGATCAAATCGAATGGATTGGATCGGATAATTTTTGCTTCCAAAACTGATCCAATCCAGACCGCGAACACCCCTAACGCCAAACATGATGGCATCTTGTCGAGAATATATGTGATTTATCAACAAAAAAATAATAATAATAATAGTCTCTTTTTAAGTGAAGGAAAGAAATATACAATAAAAATCATGAGAAAGTGACTATTTTTTTTAATTTATATTTTAAATAGAAAATACTAGATTTAACAAAAATGGTCATATTTTAAAGGACAAATATTTTTCTATTTATTATTTTTATTTTTTTTAGGATTCAATGGTATTAAAGAAGAGTAAATAAGGTAGGCAAGAAAAAAGATAGGTAAAATAATTTATCTCTTTTAAAAAAGGGGAAGGTTATATTTAGCACCAATTAAGATTTTTCTTCTTACCATCTTTTTTTTATTTTTATTTTTATGTAAGCTAAAGGGAGAAACCCCATCTTACCATATTTTCTATAACCAGCATATAGCGGTGACTAAAACATGATGGGAGAGAGAGAAAAAATATATCAAATGACAACCGTTGATTTGATTTCATATGACGGTTACAAGAAAGCTAATAAGAGGTTGTAACTTTTTTTTTTTTTTGGTATCTGAAAGGCTAAAACCAGCCGCACAGAATCTAAATTAAATTAACTTTGCGAAAAGAATAAACATGAGAAAAGCTTGCTAGATACAACAACCAGATACTAGAGGGGAGAGTAAGGAAAACATATAAATTATTCTCCATTGGATGATCTAGCGGGAACTTAGATAACCAATCTGCACAGTTGTTGCTCTCTCTATAGGTATGAGTAAGATAAACGTCCCAAGCTTTTGCTAACCATGCTCGAATGCGAGTCTAATCGCGACTCTCGAGTTGTTCCTCCATCTTTGGTGAGCAAAGTGATAACATATTTTGAATAAATTTCTAAAATAATATTTCTCCAACCCCCTTCCCAGGCCAATTCTAACCCTTTAAGAACACCCCAAAGTTCAACTATAAATGTTGAACATTGACCAATATGGTATGCAAATCCATGAAGTCAATTACCTAAGGCATCCCTAAGCACTCCACCACAAGCAGCTCCATAATATGGTCTCCTAGATGCCCCATCCGTGTTGATTTTTATCCAACCCACATCTGGCGGATTCTAACCAACCAGAATGAATGTTGGAGCCCTTGCAGTCTTGAAACCTTGCTTTATTTTCCAGCAATCTGAGAATTCCCAAAACCTTAAGTTTAATTGTTTGGGCTTTGTAGGCATGTTCATCTGTCTCATTACCGTGCACAATTGAATTTCTCCAATTCCAAGCCATCCACACTGCCACTGCAAAAATTAAGGCCCATGGAGTATTGAATCTCACATATGACTTTTTTTCAAATTTTTCAGCAACCATCTATCAACATCATGGTTAAAAAAAATCAGCAATCAGATCTGAGCACACCAATTCTAACCGTACCTTCTTCATGTTGCTGCAATCTCTGACCATGTGAAGGATAGTTTCATCTTCTAAATTGCATAATAGGCACGTAGCAGGGGCTAAACTCAATCTCGTTAACCAGTTTCTAGTTGGTAAACGATGATGAGCCACTTTCCAAGGAAATAATCTAATCTCATTAGGTCCCTTAATTTTTGAAATGTGATGCTATATCTCTTGTTCCTCCAAAGTGATCTCATTATGTTCCCTTAAAGCAAAATATATTTGTTTGACTGTGCTCCCATTTGATCCCTCAAGATTCCAACAAATTTTATCTACCCTATTAGATACATTAGGAGGGAGAAAACATCTGATAACCTGAATAACCTCCTTTGGTAGGAATTGACGCATGGCATCCGTATTCCACTCTCCGTTTAGATTCACATAACAGTTTTATGGATTTCTGGCTATAGGATAGGAGTGATAGCTTTGTTGGCCAGATTTTGATAATGCGCTAACCATTTATCTTCCCAAAATTTAACAGAAGAACCATCCTTAACATCCCAAATTAATCTGGATTTGAGTTTGTGTCAAATGTCACACATAGCTTTCCAGAGTATGGAGCAACCACGTTTCGACATAAACTCCTCCTGACCATTAATAACACTGCTGTATTTTGCTTATAAAACCTTAACACAAAGATCGTCTGGCCTATTTAAAAAGGACCATATCAACTTCCCCATGAACTCCTCATTCGTTGTTGATAGCTTCCTCAGACCCAAACCTCCAACACTCTTTTGTCTAGTTACTCTATCCCATACAATGAGGTGCAAATTTATTTTTCCCTCTGAATCTCCCCAAATGAATCTTCTTTGAAGTTGCTCCAACTCTTCACGAACAGATTTTGGGATCATAGTACTCTGCATATGAAAGAAAGGCATCGTGGATAAAACCGACAGAGATAAAATTACTATACCCGCTTGAGAAAGGGATTGCCTATGCCAGCCAGACAACCTCTCTTTAACTCTATTAATAATTCCAGAGAATAAATTCTTTGTCATATGACCCTAATGAATCATCGCCCCAAGATATCTCCCCACATTTGTTACTCGCTTAAAACCACTAATATCTATGATTTTGTTAGCTATATCATCCGAAGTATTCTTCGAAAAGAACACAGTGGTTTTGTGCTCACTCACATTTTCACCAGAAATTTCCCCAAACAGACCAAGACATTGGAGAACAACATGAATCTGATCCTCACTTGCTTCTAAAAAAAGCATTAGGTCATCCACAAAGAGTAAATGTGAGATTAAGTGCTCGTTTTTTGCTGCCCGGATAGGCCTCCACAATCCTCCACTGACAGCAGTGTCGATTATATGTGAGAGCCTTTCCATGGCTAGAACAAAAAGGTAAGGTGACAAAGGATCACCTTGTCTGACACCCCTACTCAGTTGGAATTCCTCATTTACTTTCCCATTCCAAATAACTGCAGTTTAGGATGATGTTACTGCTGCCATTGCTAATTCAAGAATTGTATTTGGAATCTTGATTTCCTCCCTAACATTACGAATGAAATTCTAATTTAACCGATTGTATGCTTTTTATAGATCCACTTTGATAGCCATAAAGCACTTTCTACCCCGCATTTTTCTCGTAGAGTGAACTAATCTTGTGCCACAATTATATTATCTTGAATATGACGATTGAGTGCAAAGCTTGTTTGGGCTGGAGAGACCATTTTTTCCAAGATAGGCTTGAGAGGATTCACTATGAGCTTACTAATAATTTTATATATAACCGGGTAGAGCGAGATAGGGTGAAACTGGCTGATATGCACAGGGATTGAACTTTCGAAATTAGCACTAGTAGAGTGGAGTTCGCAGATGCCAATAATTCGGGATATCTCCAAATCTGGTTCACCAATGTACAAACTTGAGACTTGATCAACTGCCAATTTTTCTGATTAAAGATAGCTGGAAAACCATCAGAGCCAAGAGCTTTTACTGTACCCATCTTAAAAATGGTTTGTTTAATTTCCATCTCTCTAGGGGGTATTCGAAGATCCTCATGATCTTCATATGAAAGTTCTAGCCATAAATTATCAGACGTAATCCACCTTCTTCTTTTTTATATCATCTGTGAAAAGATTCTTAAAAAAAATTACAAGCTAAAAATTGGAGATCATTAGGTTCTAACACCCAAACATTAGCATCATTTTTTGGCTTGGAGATTTTATTCACATTTCTTCTCAACACTGTGCTCAGATGATAAAAATGAGTATTTCTATCCCATCACTCACCCACTTCCGTCTTGATTTTTGATGCCAGAACAACTCTTCTTCACTAAGCACACTACTAGTCAGCATTTTTTGGCATTTCTCCTCCTTATGTTTCAGATGTGTTGTGTCAAATTGTTCACGTCTTTTTTGTATGCTAGCAATCTTCCTAATAATGCTATTCTTTCTAGTTTCAATAATATCAAAGACCCTTTTATTCTAAATTCTGATTTCAGGTACCAGTCTTTGAAGCATATAAGGTAGACCAAAATCCTACTCCCATTTTGATTTAATAAAGTCACTGAAATTGTGATGTTCTTGCCAAGCAGCGAAGAAACGAAACGGTCTCTTGTCTTTATCATTAACTTCATAAGATAATTTGATCAGTAAAGGGTTGTGATCTGATAGTAGACGAGGAAGAGAAACCACTCTGACTTCATCAAACTTCATTCTCCAGGCCACATTAGCCACCACTCTGTCTAGTCGCTTAAAAATTGTGCCCATGCTCCCCCTTTTGGACCTTACCATTAATTAAGAGGTAGTAACTTAATTGATGGTAAGTATCATCTCTACCTTTAAAAAAAAACTAAAAAAATACTACTTTTTTTATTCTATTTTTAATTCTTGATATCTTGGTCAAGTTTAACTGAGAAAATATTAATAGAGTAAATGAATAATTTAGTTAAATGTAATTATATTTTTTAAAATTTTAAAAATATACATTCACTTTTTTAATTAATGTGAAAAAATATCAAAGGACTAAAAATTTATTGATTTGAGTTTTAT